ATTACACGATGAAAAATAGGTTTTGAAGTGTGCGTGCGGGTTTTGAAGTGGAGTTATTGTTTTGATTACACTAATATTTGATTACACTTGTGAAACATCGCGTAAAATGTTACATGAGTGTTGAAATACAATTGTGATGTTCTATACAGATCTTGGTCGTTAGCTAAAATAATTAATTAATAATTTAAATAGATAGTATTAACGATCATATTTATCCCCAATACAACTAGACCATATTTATCCCATATCCAACTAGACCATATTTGTCCCATATCTAACTAGATCATATGTGTCCAATATCCAACTAGACCATATTTGTCCCATACCTAACTAGATCATATGTGTCCCATATCCAACTAGACCATATTTGTCCCATACCCAACTAGACCATATTTGTCCCATATCCAACTAGACCATATTGGTCCCATATCCAACTAGACCATATTTGTCCCATACCCAACTAGACCATATTTGTCCAATATCCAACTAGACCATATTTGTCCCATATCCAACTAGACCATATTTCTCCCATATCCAACTAGACCATATTTGTCCCATATCCAAAAAGACCATATTTCTCCCATATCTAACTAGACCATATTTGTCCCATATCCAACTAAACCATATTTCTCCCATATCTAACTAGACCATATTTGTCCCATATCCAATAGACCATATTTGTCCCATATCCAAAAAGACCATATTTCTCCCATATCTAACTAGACCATATTTGTCCCATATCCAACTAAACCATATTTGTCCCATATCCACATAGACCATATTTGCCCCATATCCGAAAAGACAATATTTCTCCCATATCCTACTAGACCATATTTCTCCCATATCCAACTAGACCATATTTGTCCCATCCAACTAGACCATGTTTGTCCCATATCCAATAGACCATATTTGTCCGATCCACAATCGATTGGTTTTAACTTCTCGCTACAGACTGTCTATTTATCTTAAGTGAAACGCTTAACAAGTCTGTTTTCTGTAACTTTTGGGCCGGTCCGACATAAATGTTTGTCAAGTGGGGGTGAGGCATGGAGTGGGGAGGAAGAGTTTGGTACCCTGGTCATCAGGGTGGGGGTGAGGCATGAGGGTGGGGGTGAGGCATGAGGGTGGGGAGGAAAAGCTTGGTACCCTGAACATCTGGTGGGGGTGAGGCATGAGGGTGGGGGTGAGGCATGAGGGTGGGGGTGAAGAGTTTGGTACCCTGATCATCAGGTGGGGGTGAGGCATGAGGGTGGGGAGGAAGAGCTTGGTACCCTGGTCATCAGGAGGTATTGTTGCAACCTAATCGATACTTGATACGTAGGATGTAGTTTGCAGTACTCGAGGCTAAAGATGGTCATTACTTGTCCTGTTATTGATATCTTGACACTGTATTTGTGTAATTATATGTATGTGGAAATTATATATATATATATATATATATATATATATATATATATATATATATATATATATATATATATATATTTATATATATATATATATATATATATATATATATATATATATATATATATATATATATATATATATATATATATATATATATATATAAACATAAAAGATTTTATGTACAACTTTTTATTTACCTACGTACTTAAGCTTTGTTAAAAAAATAACCGATTCTTCATCAATTATGATAAAATGTATGGATTCTAAATGTACTTAGTTTAAATCTATTCATTTAAAGGTACTTAAATATATACCAAAAATTTTTAGAAATGCTTCTTTTTTAGCTTTAGGTAAATTGCAATATCAGATTTTTTTTTCATCCTAAAATTGAATTCCCTCCCTTTAAATCTTTTGACGCTGTACCAACCTATTTCGGTTGTTTCCCTTGGAATACTAAACACGGACTTGCTCCCCACTCGTGAACTTGTCAGCAAATATAAATAAGGATGTAAACACAGTTGCCGCATACAAGGGGAACCACTCTAAACAGTCGCGGTCACGCGCTCTTTACCGAATTTAATCTATTTTTAGATTGAGTTCATGGCCGCAGGAGGCGCATCAATCCACATAATTCTATTTGTCAAAATTTGTTTCGGTGATATAAAAAAACAGTCATGTGAGATATTGCAGAGGTGACCTCTGACCCCGGATCAAATTGTATGAATCAACACCCGTGCTAGCCTTTTTTTCTGGGAGTGGAAAGAAAGGAATTTTTTTTTCATAATCCAAAAATTTTTGCAGTTCGGTGACTTTCTGAAACGTATTGGTTTTTGTTCAATCCATCCATCCGTCCATCCATCCATTAATACATCCAATCTTCCATCCTTCCATCCAATCGTCCATCCATCCAAACGTCTATCCAACCATCCATCAAACCTTCCATCCTTCCATCCACTCTTCTATCCATCTATCCGTCCATTCATCCGTCCTTCCCACCGGCAATCCATCCATCCATCCGTCCATCCTTCCAACAGTCCATCCATCTATCCGTCCATCCTTCCAACAGTCCATCCATCTATCCGTCCATTCATCCATCGTTCCAACCGCCCATCCATCTGTCCATCCATCCATCCATCTGTCCATCCTTTCAACCGTCCATTCATCTATCCGTCCACTCATCCATCGTTCCAACCGCCCATCCATCTGTCCCTCCATCCATCCCTCCGTCCATCCTTTCAACCGTCCATCCATCTATCCGTCCACTCATCCATCGTTCCAACCGCCCATCCATCTGTCAATCCATCCGTCCATCCGTCCATTAGCCCAACCAACTATCCACCCATCGATTTATCCATCAAGCAATCCAGCAATTCTTCGATTAGTTGATCCTCGAATCTAAACTATTTCAATAATTTCTATTTCACTAACTTTAAATTTTTAAACCCATCTTCAGATTACTCGAACTTTCTTTCTCTATTTAATACTTTTTATAAACCAATCACGAGTAATTTAATTCGATTTTTTAAGAAACCCATTCATGATCTAATTCTTTTTGTTTTATTTATTTTAATTCCAGTGATTGTCGTTCAAGGTATTTTTTTTAATGTTTGATTTTAAATATCTGTTTTCACCGAACGTGGTAAACACTATATTTGTGATTTTCGTAATTTTTTTTTTCTTGGTGTGAGCAAAAACAAACGCAAAAAACCCCAGAAATTTTGGAAATATTTTTCCAACATTCTTCATCAATTATACATTTGTTTTCTGTTTTTAAAATAATTTTGTTAATGTCATTCCTAAAAAGCGATTTATACCAATCCAAGTTATTTTGAATATTAAATAAATTTTGTTTGTATCGAAGTTCGAAAATTTCCTAAAGTTTCCCCTTGTCACTTTGATGGGGAGGTTAATGGTTATCACAACTTTTAGTTAGATAATTGGGAAAACTGGTTGTTGTATCTATTTGTTATGGACAGTGTTTCTTCCAGACTTTTTTCTCCGGGGGGGGGGGGGGCACTTGAAATTTTCGGGGGGGGGGGCGGTAGACTTTCTTCGGGGGGGGCGGATACTGTTAAAAGTATATATTTTCTATATAAATTATATTAATTTCATTTCGTTCGAGGGGGGGGGCGGTAAAAAAATTTCGGGGGGGGGGGGGGGGGAGGGGGCTTCGCCCCCACGAAGAGATGCCTGGAAGACACTCTGGTTATGGACAGCTTGTGGAAGATTTAAAAGGTTCCCTGTTTAGAATAAATGAAGTTAGAGACCAGGTTCATTGTTTTTAAAACTCTAATCATAACATGATGTATATTTAGAATTTATAATTCTAAGCTCACGTCACGCACCCCATACCTAAACCAAGGTTCGTGCTCTGATAATTGACCCCAAAAATTAAACATTTATAACAACTCATTTAGGCCTACATCGTATAACACTTGATATAATATCTCCATTTACCAACCCTCTCATATTATGTAATAATTCTAAGAAACCCCATACATACATACACACATACATACACACATAACAAGAATAACACAAAATGCTTTTAAATGAATGAAGGTATTCATATCATAATAGAGACAAAATCTTGTTGCATCTTATTTGAAAGTTTTACAATCTCAAAATTAGTTGAATTTTTTTTTAATTTAACCTGTTATGTAACTTATGTCCAATCATTCTACATAGCAGAAATGTATCAAAATTAAAAATGAGTAGAAAATAAAAATCAGTCTTTAGATAGAGCGACATAAACTGTCACAATGTTATAAGCCACGTCAATTAATGACAAGACAATCGTCACCTCCCTACCTGTTGCATTTAATACTCAACAAATAAGAAAACACTTCATCCAAAAAAAAGCACAATGTAATGTAACCCCCCCCCCCCCCCCTTTCCACTGTGCTGGGACGGGTTCGTTCCCTGGTCCTCAACCTAACGTCATTGACAAATCAGTGGGTCAGAGTTATGGTGTTAAAAACATGAATGTAGTTCTCAGCTGCACAATATTTGTAAACACACATATCAAGAACTAACGCGTTGTTACAAAATAAACATAAGTTCAATTATTGATAAAGGCATGCAGCATGCAAATGTATAAGTAATTAAAGCAAAATAAAAAATATGCATTGAGTTTATCACATCTTTTTTTGAAAGACTTAAATAAATATGAGACTTGGCAAAGGAGACAAATGTTTGTTCTCATCAATAAATCATAATACAGTACACATGATCGATAAATTATAATACAGTACATATGATCGATAAATTATAATGCACTACATATGATCGATTCAATTAAATACAGTTCATAAGATCTATAAAATTATAATACAGTACATTTTATCGATAAAATTATAATGCAGTACATATGTAAAATATCACAGAAAAAGATTAGTTAGGAAAATGGATGCCCCTAATTACCAAAACCCTCCACGCTTATTATGTTGGAGGATTTTAATTTAACTTATGAAATACAATGGAAATACATTTATTACCTAAGTAGCAAATTTCTTTTACTGTTAAGCAAAACATTTTTATCTAAACGTTATTTCATTATCAAATGAACAGAAAACTTTCATGTGAAAAAAATATAATGCAATTTTTAACCACTTTACTGACAAGTTTTCTCATTGAAATTTTAAAATGCTCACTTTGATTTATCGTTATCTTGTTCCTCAAGTATTGTGGTTCAGCCTTGTTTGCTTCTCATGATGTATGTCCATAATACAAGTGTATTATACATGTATCTATATCATAGATGTGTGTGATACATGTGTGTGATACATGTGTGTGATACATGTGTATAACACATGAGTTATATATCAGGACATCAATAAACTGTTTTGGTGATGGCGGGGTTAGACGATGGTGGATTTTTCTTTCCAGATTTTATCGGTGGTAGTTTGGTGGATTTTTCCAACCGCAGTGAATGCTGGTACCCGGAAGTGACGCTACCAGAAGCAGACGTAGGCATTACAACAGGCACGGGGTCAGGGAGGCCATAGGAAAAGTCCATGCTCTTGATGTAGTCGATGGTGAGATTCGAACCCGTGTACCCCCGGTTCTGCATTCTCTGAGACAAGGGCAGGCTGCTGGGTAGTTCGACTTCCTGCCACTCCTGGGGAGGAGAGTCACAGATTTACTAGTTCATTCAACTCATTTAATTCACTAATAAATATCAAATTTGTTTATGTTAGTCTAATAGTATTATAATAGTATGTAGATTTATTGTGACGACTTGGTCAGGTGCTAGAGCGATCGACTGCTAGCCCGAAGGCCTCGAGCTCAAATCTCGGCTAGGACTCCACACTACAGGACATCCCTAAGCCCGCTCAGCTATGATTAGTACCCGACTAAAAGGAAACTAAAAACGGCTGGGCATAGTGTTTACAACACTCTCACTTCATATACTGATGTCAAGAAACACGTTAACCCTGCTGCATCTGCCCTACTGATGGTTATTTCTGAAAGGGAATATTTTATTTATGTAGATGATATTTAGCATTTTGGTAATTTTTTATTTTTTTTTTGAAGATTTTGAGACTTACTGGCGTAGTAAGGGCGTGATAGGGGGAACACTGTTTGCCGAATCGTGACGTACTTTGTGGAGTTATCTCCCCGAACAAAACCCTTCTTCCTCTTCTGTCCCTTTGGCGCCTTTCTAAATCTCGCTCCACCTTTTTACCTAGAAAAGTCTGGGGAAAAGATGAAATAATATACAATAAACCCGCTCTATACTCACTGATAATAGGAACAACAGCAGATTTTAGTGACATTATTGCGTATTTTGAATTTTTTTTAAGTATTCTTTTATTTTTGCAATGGTGAATGTTCAACAAAATACTGGGAATGAATGTGTTTCGTAAATTCCCAAAGTAAATCTGTACATGTAATAAACAGAGCCTACCACTTTAGGGGCCACAAAACTGGGTTCTCTGCTCTCTACGCCCATGCCGGTGACGCTCCTGAACTCGGTGTTCTCCCTGGTAGGAAGAAGGTCATCGTCTGGACCCTCAAGGCCGTTCTCTTCCGGAGTATCTGACGGTGAGTGGTCGGCATCTGAGAGATAAGAATTTTTATCTCTTAGAAAAAAATCTGTACTATTATAAGCTGCTACTGTTATTCATAGGATATATATATATATATATATATATATATATATATATATATATATATATATATATATATATATATATATGTACATATATATATATATATGTACAAATATATATATGTATATATATATATATATATATATATATATATATATATATATATATATATATATATATATATATATCATCCTGTTTTATAATAATTTCTTTGTCTTTGTGAGCCTCTATGTATACATCACGAACCAGGCACCAAATTATATTTGTTTAGCCATTGGCCAAAGTCAATCTATTTAGAAATAGCTCAACTCTACACCAACTGTCCTAAGGGCATGCCAGGTGTGTAATGTGTAGTTCATTGGGTAATTAGTTCAACAATTTGTAGTTACCTACCAAGTGTCGTCTGCTTCTCGTCTGACCATGGATTTTTAGGGTGAGCCCAGGTCTCCAGGATTTTTAAGTTCCATGAGTCTTTCTGTTGGCAAGGTTTTGACAAGTCAGATTTACAGTGGAGCTATACTAGACTTATATTAGATTTTACTACATTTATACTTATTTTTCTTTCCTTATTTTATTTTTTATTTACATTAGATTAATAAGAGTCATAATAGATTTATACAAAGTTCATTATATGTATATTAGACTTTTACTAGATTTATATTAAATTAACATAACATATATGACACATAACCTCTGGTGACCACATAAATCACACAAAGCCTCTCAAGTTAAACCCACCTGACCAAATGTGCCAATGTAGTGACCCTGTAGTGACCACATGAATCACACAAAGCCCCACAAGTTAGACCCACCTTACCAAATGTACCAATGTAGTGACCCTATGGTGACCCTGTAGTGACCACATGAATCACACAAAGCCTCTCAAGCTAAACCCACCTGACCAAATGTACCAATGTAGTGACCCTATGGTGACACTGTAGTGACCACATAAATCACACAAAGCCCCTCAAGTTAAACCCACCTGACCAAATGTAGTGGCCCTGTAGTGACCCTATGTTGACCACATGAATCACACAAAGCCCCTCAAGTTAAACCCACCTGACCAAATGTAGTGGCCCTGTAGTGACTCTATGTTGACCACATGAATCACACAAAGCCCCTCAAGTGAAACCCACATGACCAAATGTGCCAATGTAGTGACCCTGTAGTGAGCCTGTAGTAACCAAATGAATCACACAAATCCCCTCAAGTTAAACCCACCTGACCAAATGTAGTGGCCCTGTAGTGACCCTATGTTGACCACATGAATCACACAAAGCCCCTCAAGTTAAACCCACCTGACCAAAGGTGCCAATGTAGTGACCCTGTAGGGACCACATGAATCACACAAAGCCTCTCAAGTTAAACCCACCTGACCAAATGTGCCAATGTAGTGACCCTGTAGTGACCCTATAGTGACACTGTAGTGACCACATGAATCACACAAAGCCCCTCAAGTTTAACCCACCTGACCAAATGTACCAATGTAGTGACCCTGTAGTGACCACATGAATCACACAAAGCCTCTCAAGTTAAACCCACCTGACCAAATGTGCCAATGTAGTGACCCTCTAGTGACCCTATGATGACCACATGAATCACACAAAGCCCCACAAGTTAAACCCACCTGACCAAATGTACCAATGTAGTGACCATCTGGTGACCACATGAATTACACAAAGCCTCTCAAGTTAAACCCACCTGACCAAATGTGCCATTGTAGTGACCCTGTAGTGACCACTTGAATCACACAAAGCCCCACAAGTTAAACCCACCTGACCAAATGCGCCAATGTAGTGACCCTATAGCGACCCTGTAGTGACACTGTAGTGACCACATGAATCACACAAAGCCCCACAAGTTAAACCCACCTGACCAAATGTGCCAATGTAGTGACCCTGTAGTTACCCTCTAGTGACCCTGTAGTGACCACATGAATCACACAAAGCCCCACAAGTTAAACCCACCTGACCAAATGCGCCAATGTAGTGACCCTGCAGTGACCCTGTAGTGACCACATGAATCACACAAAGCCCCACAAGTTAAACCCACCTGACCAAATGTGCCAATGTAGTGACCCTGTAGTGACCACATGAATCACACAAAACCCCACAAGTTAAACCCACCTGACCAAATGTGCCAATGTAGTGACCCTGTATTGACCCTGTGGTGACCACAAGAATCACACAAAACCCCACAAGTTAAACCCACCTGACCAAATGTGCCAATGTAGTGACCCTCTAGTGACCCTCAAGTTAAACCCACCTGACCAAATGTGCCAATGTAGTGACCCTCTAGTGACCCTCAAGTTAAACCCACCTGACCAAATGTACCAATGTAGTGACCCTCTAGTGACCCTCAAGTTAAACCCACCTGACCAAATGTACCAATGTAGTGACCATCTGGTGACCACAGGAATTACACAAAGCCTCTCAAGTTAAACCCACCTGACCAAATGTGCCAATGTAGTGACCCTCGGGTGACCAGAGCCTGGCCGTCTTGTCTGTGGATGCCGTCAGAACAAATGTTCCAGCGTCGTGCTGTATGTACTCCACGCTGACGACAGCAGTGTCGTGGGCCCTCCATGTGGTGGTGAGGGGTGGGGCGGACTTGATGATGTACTGGGTGGAAATAAAACATGTTTTATGGTGGAGCGGACTTGATGATGTACTGTGTGGAAATAAAACATGTTCTATGGAGGGGTGGAAATAAAACATGTTTTATGGTGGGGTGGAAATAAAACATGTTTTATGGTGGGGTGGAAATAATACATGTTTTATGGTTGGGGGGAAATAATACATGTTTTATGGTGGGGTGGAAATAATACATGTTTTATGGTGGTGTGGAAATAATACATGTTTTATGGTGGGGTGGAAATAATACATGTTTTATGGTGGGGTGGAAATAATACATGTTTTATGGTGGGCAGACTTGATGATGTACTGGGTGGAAATAAAACATGTTTTTGGTGGAGCAGTCTTGATGATTTACTGAATGGAAAAAACATATGATGTTTCAGCCACAGGTCTTCGTCAGAATAGAGTGGAACGTAGTTTTTTGTTCTATTTTTTCTGGAAGCTCTAAGGCATTAATGTATAAATTATTTAAAAAATTATCGTTTAATTATTGTCTAATGAGACATGCAGTCCTCAACGTTCCCACGCGCAACGTTCCGGTGAGTGACTCACCCCCTGGTAGCTCGTGCAGTACTCTGTGACGTCCCAACATTTGACGTAGCCTAGCGTGTCACCTGTGATGAGGACGTCATCGCCAGGTTTGGTACACATGGCCAGGACTGACTCGTCCCTCACACCAGGGACATAGAAGCACCCTGGGGACAGATGGAGTGTTTAAAGTTTGTTAGAATCACCCTGGGGATAGAGGTAGTGTTTACAGTTTGTTAGAAGCACCATGGAGACAGAGGGAGTGGTTTGTTAGAAGCACCCTCGGGACAGAGGGAGTGTTTAGTTAGAAGCACCCTGGGGATAGGGGTTGTGTTAACAGCTTTTTTATAAAGTTACGAATATATTTAAATGGATAATATTTTTACAAGGTTTGTTAACTGTGATTCTTCGAATTCAAAGAAGAATTTTTGAGACTCTATGCTTAAAAAACTAATAATTTATTTTAATTTTTCTTCGGCGTTAGATTTATTTCAGGAATTGCATAAATGAAGACCAATCTTAATTAGATTTTATCAAAGGGGAACAACAGTTGTTATTTTATAATCATTACATGGATTACTTCCCTTACCCATTTCTCGGTTTGACGTGTAAATGTTCCACCATCTTAGATTGCCGGCTTCGCTTGAGATCAAAACTGCACTCTCTGTGAACCGGATGCCGGCCCTTGTCTTCAGGAACATGAGTTTATCTACAGGTGCGGCTTGCCTGTAAGGTTCCAGTATTCGAACATTAAAACTCACTCAGTTATTTCCCTTTTATTAAGGATCTAATTGAGTATTTTTTATTCGGTACTAGATTTGCCTAATCCAAGTAATCGTGTCGTTAGTAACTTTAATTCCGAATTCAAGCATTAACCTACCTCTAACCTTAAACCTTAACCGAACTTTTGGGTCGCCAAGGTTAGTCGCAAAACAGCTTTGTTGTCATACAATAAGAAGTTAATTCTTGAATTTTCAAATTTAATTTAATTTACTTTTTTATAACGGGAAATGCACTATAACAAAGATATACAAGACATTTCTACATTACTAGACTATTGAGACGTACCTACTTTATCTGTAGTATTAGAATAAAGATCTACCAATCCTTTCTAAGCTCTAGAGCAAAATGAAGTACAAACCCTTTATACGGCTATAGAATATAAAGTGGTACCAACCCTTTCTCTACTCTATGTGAGAGCCGGTGTCGCGAGTTGGGTCTGGAAGCAGGAGCTGAAGCCGGGATGGCGCCATTGACGTTAGTCTTCAAAGCTTCCAACTTCTTGGAACTAAAAGATTTTAATTTTAAACTCCATTGTTGGTGGCTTTTACTATAAAGTGTCTTTCAATTTATCGTCCTATCTTCTTCTTCTTCGTCCTTAATTTTTAGTGATGAAAGGGATCGAGACTTATCTACCAGAGGGTTTGAACTCGAGACTTTTTTTTTAAATATTAATATTAATATTAAATATTGAGATTTTGCCGACTCGACCACGACTTCATCACAATTAAGGATACGTGTCAACTGGTTATGTGCCATTGAGGCCATTGACTCCGATTTCAGCCTGATTTTCTTTTTGGATTTTTTTCCATAGCCTTTGTCCAACCAAGAACAAACTACAAGGCAGCAGTTGTTTGATTTTGGAGTTGTCTCTCCTACAATAGTGGCTGTCCCAAGCTAACGAGACTCATCTACCCGAGGGTTCGAACTCGAGACTTTTTGGTTTAGCAACCTTGAGCTTTACCGACTCGACAACGTCATATAAAACAATATCAAAACGCAATAAATGTGACTGAACCGTCCTTGACCTACATGTTTGGAGGTTGACCTTTCCTGAGCCGGACGTAGATCTTCTCCGTGTCGGCCTCCCACACGATGATCTCCCCGTCAAAGCTGGCTGTAGCCAGGAAGTTGGGCGGGGCAAAGTCCACCGTCAGGATGTCGTCCTTGTGGAGCTGGCCACCTTTCCAGGTCACGTTGGCCGCCAGGTTCATGCTCTGTGGAGGTCAAGGGCATCAGCTTATGTTGAGGTCAACTTAATGTATGTTAAGGTTAACTCAGTATATGTTAATATTAAGCACGGAGTCACAAGTGTACGTACAACTTGTGGAGTCACAAGTGCACATACAACTTGTGGAGTCGCAAGTGCACATACAACTTGTGGAGTCACAAGTGCACATACAACTTGTGGAGTCACAAGTGCACATACAACGTGGAGTCACAGGTGCACATACAACTTACGTCTGCGTCAGAGTCGTCGTACGTGACAATCTTCTGGTTCCAGCCGACGGTTAGGATGACCTTCTTCTCCGGCAGCTGGACGATGCCGGTGATCTCGTTCTCTCCCACGGCCTCCAGCTTGTGAAGGTTGTGGCCGTTCTGGAAGTTCCACACCTGCAGGGGGGGGGGGGGGGGGGCGGTCAGGTGAGACATGTTAGATGTCACAGCTACATGTCACAGCTATATGTCACAATTACATGTCATTTGTCACAGTTTCATGTCTGATGTCACAAGTATGTCAGTTGTCAAAGCTACATGTCACATCTTCATGGCATATGTCGCAGCTACGTGCCATATGTCACCGATACATTTCAGATGTCACAGCTACATGACAGAGTTGTTCGTTATGACATGTCATAGCTCTAAGTTTGTGTTGATGGTAAAGTTAGCTGTCATTGCTAAATCAAATTAACAAGTTAAATCAAGTTAGCTATCATAGCCATTTACGATGTATATCGGTATTAATTGATACAAAACATGTCAGTTTTTAGAACTAATGTCAGGTCACCAGTTGGCAGTTACTGTCATCTCGTCACCAGCATTGACTGACCTTGACACTGCCATTCCTGGCACCAGATATCAACTTCCGGCACGTGGAATCAAATGTCAGGCACGTGATCTCCTCGTCACCGTGAGCGTTAGAGAACACGATGGACCTGTTTCCGGTTTCAATATCCCAGACGGCAATCGTTGAGGAATCACATCCGGTAACAACCTGAAAGTTCCAAACGATTTACTACGTCATCAAAGATGTCGTAACTCGAGTTAGTTGACAGATGTTTGACAGTCTAGTGGGCTAGCTAAGATTTACGCAGATATTTCACTGTCTAGTGAGGTAGCTAAGATTGGACATTTCACAGTCTAGTGGGCTAGCTAAGATTGGAAATTTCACAGTCTAGTGGGCTAGCTAAAATTGGACATTTCACAGTCTAGTGGGCTAGCTAAGATTGGACATTTCACAGTCGAGTGGACTAGCTAAGATTGGACATTTCACAGTCTAGTGGGCTGGCTAAGATTGGACATTTCACAGTCTAGTGGGCTAGGTAAGATTGGACATTTCACAGTCTAGTGGGCTAGGTAAGATTGGACATTTCACAGTCTAGTGGGCTAGCTAAGATGGGACATTTCACAGTCTAGTGGGCTAGCTAAGATTGGACATTTCACAGTCTAGTGGACTAGCTAAGATTGGACATTTCACAGTCGAGTGGACTAGCTAAGATTGGACATTTCACAGTCGAATGGACTAGCTAAGATTGGACATTTCACAGTCTAGTGGGCTGGCTAAGATTGGACATTTCACAGTCTAGTGGGCTGGCTAAGATTGGACATTTCACAGTCTAGTGGGCTAGCTAAGATTGGACATTTCACAATCTAGTGAGCTAGGTAAGATTGGACATTTCACAGTCTAGTGGGCTAGGTAAGATTGGACATTTCACAGTCTAGTGGGCTAGCTAAGATTGGACATTTCACAATCTAGTGAGCTAGCTAAGATTGGACATTTCACAGTCTAGTGGGCTAGCTAAGATTGGACATTTCACAATCTAGTGAGCTAGCTAAGATTGGACATTTCACAGTCTAGTGGGCTAGGTAAGATTGGACATTTCACAGTCTAGTGGGCTAGCTAAGATTGGACATTTCACAATCTAGTGAGCTAGCTAAGATTGGACATTTCACAGTCTAGTGGGCTAGCTAAGATTGGACATTTCACAATCTAGTGAGCTAGCTAAGATTGGACATTTCACAGTCTAGTGGGCTAGCTAAGATTGGACATTTCACAATCTAGTGGGCTAGCTAAGATTGGACATTTCACAGTCTAGTGGGCTAGCTAAGATTGGACATTTCACAGTCTAGTGGGCTAGCTAAGATTGGACATTTCACAGTCTAGTGGGCTAGCTAAGATTGGACATTTCACAGTCTAGTGGGCTAGCTAAGATTGGACATTTCACAGTCTAGTGGGCTAGCTAAGATTGGACATTTCACAATCTAGTGAGCTAGCTAAGATTGGCATAGAATATGTTCGGGGATAAAGAAATAAGGTTAAAAAATAATTAAGGATCAATAAATAATTTATGAATACATTTTTTTTAAATAATAAGGAGAAAGTAGAGTAGACAAATTTGAATTTAAAGAAAGATTAAGGGAGATTGTCATAATAAAAGTTGTGTCAGGGTTATTATGTTGTATATATATATATATATATATATATATATATATATATATATATATATATATATACATATCACAATTATGTATATACACGATGATTGCATATGTATATGGCGTACAAGCAGTACGATTCAATAATGTAGGAAACAAAGTTTTCCATTCAGATAAAGGTAAGCTTATTTTTTTTTTAAATTATGTAAGTAATGAGAGCAGTGTTTCTTCAAGACTATTTTTATCCGGGGGTGCACTTGAAATTTCCGGGGGGGGCGGACAACAATTTCCGGGGGGGAGGGCGGACACTGTCAAAAGTATATATTTCCTAAATAAATTCCATTTCGTTCGGGGGCGGTAGACTTTCTTGAGGGGGTGGGGGGGGGGGGCGGTGCCCGCCAGCCCCCCCCCCCCCCCCGAAGAGATGCCTGGAAGAAACTGAATACACCACATACACGTGACAGCGAGCACCAGGTAGCTCCACCTGCCGGTTTTACCTGTTTGAGAAAGGTGTTGTAAATGGCACAGCAGAGCTGCGTGTCGTGCGTCACCTCCATGTGGGACGTCTTGACCTCCACCTTCCCCAGACGCAGCCCGGCGATGTAGTCGTTGCACGTGACGAAGAACGCACTGTGGGGCGGGCCCTGGAGGTGGACCGGAAACTGACCGTGTTCCGGCATCCGGCCGTTCAGCGAGGAGGGGAATTTCAGAACCACAGTTTGTAGACAGACGTGCTCTTTTGTATCCCATACCTTCACGACCTGTGGACACATGCGGACAGCTAATTAGTCACGTATTAATTAGTCACATGCTAATTATTCTGGTATGTATAATGAAGCGATTGAATGCAGTGTTGTGTTCTACTACAGTGCTGTGTGTATTCAGAGATTTACCGCATCTTTCGAGTAACTGAAGACTTGTCTGAAGCCCTCGTGAATGGCGACCCCTATGACACTGGTCGCGTGACCTGGTAGTGTCGCCACTGGCTTGAAGGTCACGTAAGGGTTCCAGAGCCGGACAATGTGGTCTCCACTTCCGGTGACCAGAATATTCAAATTTTTATTGTGGTCAAAACATTCCACGCCCTGGAAATCAGATGTTTAAATGTGTGTGTGTATATATATATATATATATATATATATATATATATATAAATATATATATATATATATATATATATATGTGTGTGTGTGTGTGTGTGTATATATATATATATATATATATATACATATGTGTATATATATGTATATTCTACAGGTATATTTTAAAACCATAACGTTATGTGTGGATATGAGTACCTTCTCTAGTTTGAACACATAAGATTTCTTGACCCCTATGATGTCACAGATAACGATCGAGTTCCGGGGTGAGGCAGAGGCCGAGATGACCGCTTCATTCTCCGGCAAATACCGGACTTGCCGGATGAGTTCTGGGTGGATGTCCGGTAGGACTGTGTGCTTGACCCATTGACTGTGGTTGCCGATGTCCTAATTAATTTGTGAACAGTCATGTAATAACTAATTATATTAATAATTAGCGCACAATAATTTCTTAATTAATTAACGACCAGTCATGGAATAATTAATTATCTTGATAATTAGGAAACAACTTTTTTAAAAATTATTTATTAAACAGTCTTGTAAAAATTATTTTAATTTACGAACACATGTTTTTTTTAATTAATTAATGATTGGTCATGCATTAATTAATTATTCAACAGGCATATAAATCCTTTGGATAAAGTTAATTTTTAAGTGCGTTTTTAAATAGTTCAAAACTATATTCTAATTTATAAGCGAATAATAAAACACGTGTAAATTCTAGTCACATTTGAATCACAAGTTTCACCATCAACTTAATTAATTAAGGTATAACATATCACAAGCATGTGTGTGGTGTTTCTACTTCACCTACTTGTTGACAGTCCGGACACTCAAGGACTGACCTGCATAAATATTTTGTGGCCACTGGCGTCGGTCTTGAAGGGGTTCTCAAACAGTTGGGTGACTGGCTTGACAAAGTTGAGGAGGTGGATGGCGCCTGTGTCTACCCCAAATACGAGCAGTGAACTGGTGTTGGGTTGCTGGGGGGGACGGGGAGATGGGGGGGGGGGGCAAATTGTTTGACTTTACTGAGAGGTACGATCATCCTTATGTGGAAAATATGGTTTTGTCGACAGTGTTTTATTTAAAATTTAAGTCTTTAAAATTACATTGACTTTCGACGTTAAAGAAAAAGTTTGATTGTCAACAAATTGTTTTAAGGCTTAGAACAGAATTTGTGTAAACTTACTTTTGGGTTAAAGTAGTAGTCGAAACAATAAGGTACATCCGCCATTGCTGTGGAGGTATATAACGTGAGACATGGGAATTGTTGTGTTAGATCGGCATTGTATTTTATTCCAGTTAAACGATGGCGGTAATATTTAAACTACATTAAATAGTCAAAACAATATATTTACGTGGAGGTACATTACGTCACTACGTGAGACATGGAATCTATTGTTTTAGATCGGCATTGTATTGTATTTCAGTTAAACGATGGCGGCAATATTTAACTAGATTAATTAGGACACTGTTTCCCAACATCGTTTAACATTTGTAATAGATTTAAAAATGACACTACACTTATAATTATTAAATGTAAGACTAACATTTAGCTACAACAACGTGACTCTTAGATTAGACAAAACAGTGACCTAACAACGTGATCATGCCAAATACTACCATAATGTGGTACTAGCAAGCCAAATATACAAACGACGTGACACTAATCGTGAAGTGTGACTCTAACCATAAACGTGACAACAAGATTAACCCAACAAAGTAGCACTCATCAAAAATCGTGATACTAATTCAATAACGTGACACAAATAGAACAACGTGATAGTAACCAAAAAAAGACACTGATCATACAAACGGATTAATTATAAACGTGGTACTAATCCAAAAACGTGACACAGACAGAACAAAGTGAAATCTAACATAGTGACGCAAGTTTAAGGTGACACACATGTAAGGTGATACATACTAAACATGACAAAAACTTTAAAATGTGACAAAAATTAAACGTTACAAAACTTAACGTGACACTAGATTAACGTGTCACAAACTTAACGTGACAAAAATGAACGTGATATTAATTAACGTGACACAAATGTAACGTGACACAAACTTAACGTGAAACTAGTTTAACGTGACACTAGCTTAACGTGACAAAAAATTAACACGACAAAAAATGGCATTAATTAACGTGACACAAACATAACGTGACAAAAACGTAACGTGACACTATCTATACGTGACGCTGACCAAACAAGTGGTACTCCTCAAAGTACTGTGATGACGACACGTCATAGAACCGGATGTCGCGACTGGTGGAGCCGATGGCAATCTTCTGACAGTTGGGCATGTACACGGCGTCCGTGACCCACATTTTGAAGCGCCGCTTCTGGGAGCTTTGGTCTTCCTCCTGGTCAGCTATGACGTAATGTTTCTCCATGGACATGTTGGGCTGCCACACGCTCATGGCGCCTTCCTGTACGGGCATCACGTGGTCAGTCAATGGACAAAACTAATCTTTATAAAACTCGAATTTAACATTTTTCATTTTTTTTTATTGAAAAAACTGAAGTTTTGCAATGTTATTTTACAAGTAATAAATGTAATGTCTTTTACCTAATAAATGTAAAATTATTATTATTTCGCGAGTTACCCTCACAACATTAATGTTATTATTGTGCCCCATTCATGCTAAAAGTTTGTAATGTTATGTCTGAATTGTCACCCATACACATGACTGACCTTGACCTCACTTACCCGACTGATTGTGATGTACCTCAGTGGACCCTGGACCGCAACAATTTTCGTCGTCTGCTCTTGCTGTTGATGTGAATGGGGGCGGTGGGGCGGGGATGTAAATCATCAATAAAACACGTATACCACATATCGACAGTAGTTTGATACAACACATGATAATGAAAATCTCGAAATGCTTGTCTACAATATGGCGAATTGTAACCAGTGTACATCCACTTAGTAAAATTTCGATAGTATCAAACTTTCAAAAGTTATATGCTAATCAACTTTTTAATTATGGATTTTAACCAATGCTCAAATTTTGCATGTGTTAAACAATATTTAAATGTTGGATTTAAACCTTTATACACTTAAGTGAACATCCAACAAGAAAAGGTCTCTGTCACTTCTTTGACATCTGGTTTTCAGACAATAGTGGGGGCTTATCTACCAGTTACACAACGTAAAATGGAGTGTCAGTGACGGATCATTTATTTAAAACCTCCATTCACCTTAGCAACAGAGGCGCAGCCACCCATTCCGGCGCCCGGGGCCAACTATCAACATTGTCTAAAAAGTGACTCCTCCCAGTTCTATTGTTATTCATATTGGCAAAAAAAGCCTAGTTTCGCCCCTGCCTAGCAAGACTTCACGACGTTTCACCTCACCCTGTTATGGAATATATGTCTGATCCTAGGCTATATTTCTCCTCACCCTGTTATTGACAATGTGTCATATCATATGCTATATTTCCCCTCACCCTGATATGGACTATTATGTCTGATCCTATGCTACACTCAACCTCACCCTGTTATGTACTATGTGTCTGATCCTAGGCTCCACCATGAAGGGGATCTCACTCTTGGTCCTCAGGTAATCGTTCTCCCTGTACAACAGCAACAGGTAGGTGCAGAATTCGTCCCAGTCCACGTACCCGTCACATGAGGTGTCCAGCTGGGGGGAGAGGTCAGAACGTTCTAGAAATTCGTGCAGGTGTATTTACACGTCATGATGGTTATTTAGATCTAAGCGCAGTCGTTTGTATTTCTATTTGATGATTATTATTTAGATATAAGCGCAGTTGTATGTGTTTCTATTTGATGATGGTTATTTAGATCTAAAAGTCATTTTGAATGGGGTTTTTTTTTAGTTTTTTGTGAGATGCACAGAAGATACTGGGTGAAACGCTATTTAAATCGCTCTTTTGGCAATGTTCTTTAGGGTGGACAACTTTCGAAAGTTAATGTCTTGAGCGCAGTAGTCGAAAACCTTACTTGATCTAAAGTGATATAGTTTTCTGGATAAAATAGGAGTATGCGAATAAGAATGGTTTTAATTAATTATGATTGAGATTAATTAATAGCTAATAAAGGAGAGTTTTAAAAAAAAGTATAAATGAATAGATCTACACCGTTAATTAAAAACTTGTCTAAGCTTTCATCTAAATTTAAAGGTGATAAATGTAACAATTATCGAACATTGGTTTCTGTCACGTATTTCAGAATCTGCATTATGTTATTTATTGGACAGTATTATCTGTATGTGTAGGATAAAATAACATCAACTCACAAAAAATACAAAAGTTGTGTATCATAAACTGTATGAAAGTGATGTTTAGATTTTTTTTTTAAATATAGAATTTAATTTTTTTATTTTTGAAAAAAAGTTTATTCCATCAATAAAACCGTGTTAAAGAAACACAGACAGTTAATATGTTTTCTAACCGGATAGAGAAAATAATTGTGTGCTATGAATGACCTACCTTCATAAAAAGTTTATCCAAATACTCGTCATATTCATCTGTCTTTAGGATCCTGAAAATCGTGTCTTTAAACTCCGGCAAGTTCATGCAGCCCGGTGTCCGTCGCTGGACTTTGGGCGGGAAATAGCCTGTTCCCTCCTGCACGAGAATGTCCTCAGGCTTGTGTCTGGCGAAGGCCTCCATCAGCTTCTCCAGGTGGTGGAGCTTGATGTGTTCCTCCAGCCGGACATTCTTGCTGGCACGCTCAAAGCTGGGGACACATGCAGCTGGTTAGATCAAGGGATTGAGAACATCTATATATGACCTATTCAAGATTCTGAGGGATCAAACAGATTTTATAAACACTGAATTAGATTCTAGTGAACGCATATAATAAAATTTCCCTTGGAGCGGAGTGATTTGTCGTTGTTATATTATGCTTAAAATGGTAGAAGGCTGTATGTAGAAATGCTACATAATTGTTTTTTGTTATTTATTTTCACAAAACATAGGCTATTTTAAACGTTTGAGGTGTATTTTGAAAACCCTTGATTCAACGGTACAAATGAAAACACTTTGATCAATCTTAATAGCTTATTCATAAAGAGTTACATAACGACAGATGAGCTCAGAAAACTATGTTATTACTTTTACTAGGCCTGATAAACACTCACATGTCCACCCTTAACCCCATCCCACCAATCCCTCACTCACGAACTCCCGACCACCCCCTTCTTAACATACCACACACCTACTATTTCAACTACTTATATTACAAATTTATATAAAAACTATTCCTATTTAGTATTTCGCTGGTTTCAAATATATAACAACATATATATATATTATATATATATATATATATATATATATATATATATATATATATATATATATATATATATATATATATATATATATATATGAAAGTAGACGGTCCAGCCTCTGATCAACGCAGCCTGTATAACGCCGTCATTAAACGAGAACTGTTTGCTGTTAATGTTTCCACTAATGTTCACAACAAACTCACCAGCACTCCCCCCTATTGTCAGAACTGAATGGAGCAGATCGAACTCTAAGGAACAAAGACCGATTGGTTATCGATTAACGAAAGGCAGGATATTGATGGCGATTCTAGCCGCACCTATTGTGTAGGTAACCTTAAACTTATTGGTTTAAATTGCTCATGACACGATTTTCTTTATAGCAGCAAGTCTATCTGTACATTTTATTGCTGGGCTGCTATTTTTGCAAGCTTTCCAAAGACGATTACTTGTTTAATTTACTGCCTATCAAAAAAAATTCTACGGGAAAATAATGTGGAAAGAACAATTGAAAATTTGGAATTTATTTGTGTGACATTAAATGTGACAGAAGACTGAGGCCCCAAAATATAATAATTGACAAAAGAAAATTCAAAAAAAGTATTCACAATCGTTCCACTTTGGGTTATGCACATGGTGGAGATTCGTGATCACACGCCACGAAATGTAGTTCCATCATATTTTCCCGTTTGTGCCCAAGACAAAATGGGGCAGATGAAGTAGAGTTCATCTGTTTCAATTATCTCGGCATACAAGGGGATAAGGCCTTTGTTTCCCCCAACGTGTGGTAGGTATCCATCAGAGCTGGGTGGGCTCAGGGACGTTCTACTCGCCTGGATTCATACTCGAGACCCTCGGGTTACGAGCCTAGCACTCTACCACAAGTATAGCTTCATTTTAAGGAGGCATCTGACCTCAAGAAATGTAGCTACTTAATATCTCATGTATAAATAAAATCATCAAGAAAAAAGTACTAATGCATATATTTAACCTCAAATATGAAATTAACCCTCAAAGAAAACACGCAGTCGGCTATCTACAATTCTAATACTGTGATTTAACAAATGTCGTATACAAGCAGTAAGGACGACAGCTCTACTGATACTAGCTCAGTGAACACAGAATGTGAATTATTACAGGCTTTGATGTCGTATTCCTTCAGGGACAACGTTAATTTCGTTATTTGTTAATGTCAGTTTGTATTACTATAGGAATAATGTTAATCGATATTTGGCGTTGTGGTTTGTATTCCTATAGGCAGAACGTTAATTTCGTTATTTGTTTATGTGGTTTGTATTCATATTTGAAGAACGTTAATTTTATTATTTGTTGATGTCGGTTAGTATTACTATTGGAATAATGTTAATTTTGTTATTTATTGATGTGGTCTGTATCCAAATGCCAACCAGTCTAACTAAGCACCAGGGTAGACAGCGATAATTTACAATGTAACATTTTAAACCATCAAACAAGTTAACTAGTTTCATTTTTAGAATAATTGATAATTCTATTTTGCTCGGTCTAACGCTCAAGCCTTTAAGTTAACCAAGAGCTATAAAACATTTTAACTACGTCATTTTCTCGATAATACCAAATTCCCATAATGACGTCATTATTTTTATCTCTACTGATAACAAGCCTTTGAGAGCGCCACTAAAAATCTCAAAATTTATTGATTTTACTATATCAACACACAAATCGCTCGTGGACAGGAACTTGTGATCGTTTCAAGTGATTTCCACTACATAGATAATCAATCGATCTCTAGCACCAGCCGAGTGAATGGTCAGGTCATAAAGAAATTAATGGAGTCTTCGAACACCAGTCAACTGAAATAGTCGTCTGCTTCAGGTGGAACGGTAGAATGTGATTGGCGACACGCTTGATTGGTTAAATACACAGTGAATCATACTGTCAGTGTTAATATAAGCCTGTCTCACGCTTCAGGGGGGTGAAAGGATTAAAGTGCCGATATAAGGGACATTTTATGTGGTAGTTTAGCGGATTAAGTAGCTTCTGTATGTTTCTAAAAGACTTGTGGTCATTTATATTCCACATAGAATTTGGGAATATAAGGCTATCAAGGGGGACTGCAAAAAATTAATTTTATGTGAAGTCTAACCGAGAATAACTACTTCCTGAAAATTTGATCTATGTTAAAATAAAAAATAACAATGTTATAGTTTAGCTTTAGAATGTTGTCCCACACATATTATGTCATAATCTAGTAATTTAAATGATTGGGTCGTATGCAGGTCAAACATTAGGCTGATGAAAAAATGAAGTCAATGTCAGACAATTATATCAACTACCAGTTAAAGTCGTGAATAGCTTATAATGATAATTAAAGGCTCGAACTAAGTTAGCCCACATTCTTTCCAGTGTTTCTTCCAGACTTTTTTCACCGGGGAGGGGGGGGGGCACTTGATATTTTCGGGGGAGCGGACAACATTTTCCGGGGGGGGGGGGGGCGGACACTGGTAAAAGTATATGTTTTTATATAAATTCCATTTTCTTAGGAGGGGGGTAGACTTTCTTCGGGGGGGGGGGGGGGGGGGGAATGGCGGCTCCGCCTGGAAGAAACTGATTTTTTTCTCGACTCTCTCGTAAATATATATATCACCAATTACACATGTGAAACTGTGCTACTTAGAGTAGTATTTCTAATACTATTATTATTATTACATCGTGATGTTTTATATACTGGACATCTTTATGCGGTAATGTTTGGAGATGTGATGTTGTAACATCGTGATGTTGTAACATCGTGATGTATTTACCTCGCTTCTTCAACCACAGCCTGCTCTAATTTCTTCAACTGATCCACTTGATCCACCTGATCCACCAGATCCACCTGATCCACCTGATCCACCAGATCCTCAACGACTTCATCGTCTGCTGTGTTGAGTTCGTCCAGCGCCACACTGGCGTCGTCATCATCCTCTGACGTCACAGTGTGTCGGCTGGACACAGAAATCACGGACATTGTCCGCTCAACTCTAGGACGCACTTTGTGACATACACTTTTTATGTGTCAGTTAGGCCCCTTTGTTACTATGGAAACATCGTACGTACACTTTTTGTGTCAGTTAGGCCCCCTTGTTGCAAAGAAACATCGCATATACAATTTTTCTGCCCCCTTGTTGCTATACAAACGTATCAGGTCCTTAACCACAACTTAATCCTAAATGTGTAGTATGTCCTCCAGTTATAATACACAAGGGATGATCTAGCTAATTTGGGTTTGTGCTTTTAAACTGCATTAATTGTTTGAATTGTAACGTATTACTAGAATTTAGATTTATCTTGAATTTATTTCTATCTTGTTTAGAAATCTTTCAAAATTCCCAATAGCATCAACATAAAACTTCATATCCGGTATCAAAATCGTTGACGACTAATCAGATCAGAACTTGTTCGATAATGTCAACGTATTGAATATATAAGAGTTCAATACCTCACTCACGCACATATACCTACATAAGTAACATACGGATTAGAATCTAGAAATACCGAACGTTGTATATCCACAAAATCGTATTATCCTGTAACAGAAAAGCACATAAACAATCCACAAGTTTCACGCACACACACTGAAATGCAGATCTGAGTGAGTTGATGTGTGAGGACCAGTTCTACCCCACCCAATCACTCTGATCACCTATCGATACCATTGAACACATAAATACACGCCGTTTCATTCAACTTTCTACAACTCTATTCATATCGTGTGTTTGTTCTTGCAACTTTCGTTCGCTAACCAAGGCTAGATTTCTATAACACGACGCAAGTTGGTTCGGGGGAGGGGTGTAGGGGGGGGTAGAGGAGGGGGGTAGGATATTCAGGTATAGAAAAGACTAAATAGTGTTTCATAATAAGTTTTGGATAATAAGGTACCGACAAATTCAACCCATCCGCTTCTAGAGATTGTAACCGATCTATGAAATATTTTAAAAAAATGCAAGGGGGACAACTAAGTATGTAATGCGTTTGTACTCTTACGTTTGTTTACAAAACTAGTGAACTGTTAAATCAATATGTGTGTATGGGCATAACTAGTATGTTGTGTCAGTTTATAAGCAACACAGATTAGATTCACCTGCGTTAAATAATGTTTGAGGTAATAAATTTAAACATTATTGAGTCGAATTTTGACCTTAGCCAGATCAGAGCCTATCGTTATCGTGGAAGTAGACAGTGGGTATAATATAAAGTTAGACGGTGGGTATAAAGTTAGACAGTGGGTATAATATAAAGTTAGACAGTGGGTATAATATAAAGTTAGACGGTGGGTATAATATAAAGTTAGACAGTGGGTATAATATAAAGTTAGATGGTGGGTATAATATAAAGTTAGACGGTGGGTATAAAGTTAGACAGTGGGTATAATATAAAGTTAGACAGTGGGTATAATATAAAGTTAGACGGTGGGTATAAAGTTAGACAGTGGGAATAATATAAAGTTAGACAGTGTGTATAATATAAAGTTAGACAGTGGGTATAATATAAAGTTAGACAGTGGGTATAATATAAAGTTAGACAGTGTGTATAATATAAAGTTAGACAGTGGGTATAATATAAAGTTAGACAGTGGGTATAATATAAAGTTAGACAGTGGGTATAATATAAAGTTAGACGGTGGGTATAAAGTTAGACAGTGGGAATAATATAAAGTTAGACAGTGGGTATAATATAAAGTTAGACGGTGGGTATAATATAAAGTTAGACGGTGGGTATAATATAAAGTTAGACAGTGGGTATAATATAAAGTTAGACGGTGGGTATAATATAAAGTTAGATGGTGGGTATAAAGTTAGACAGTGGGTATAATATAAAGTTAGATGGTGGGTATAAAGTTAGACAGTGGGTATAATATAAAGTTAGACGGTGGGTATAATATAAAGTTAGACAGTGGGTATAATATAAAGTTAGACAGTGGGTATAATATAAAGTTAGATGGTGGGTATAAAGTTAGACAGTGGGTATAATATAAAGTTAGACGGTGGGTATAATATAAAGTTAGACAGTGGGTATAATATAAAGTTAGACGGTGGGTATAATATAAAGTTAGACGGTGGGTATAATATAAAGTTAGATGGTGGGTATAAAGTTAGACAGTGGGTATAATATAAAGTTAGACAGTGGGTATAATATAAAGTTAGACGGTGGGTATAATATAAAGTTAGACAGTGGGTATAATATAAAGTTAGACGGTGGGTATAATATAAAGTTAGATGGTGGGTATAAAGTTAGACAGTGGGTATAATATAAAGTTAGACGGTGGGTATAATATAAAGTTAGACGGTGGGTATAATATAAAGTTAGATGGTGGGTATAAAGTTAGACAGTGGGTATAATATAAAGTTAGACGGTGGGTATAATATAAAGTTAGACAGTGGGTATAATATAAAGTTAGACGGTGGGTATAATATAAAGTTAGACAGTGGGTATAATATAAAGTTAGACAGTGGGTATAATATAAAGTTAGACGGTGGGTATAATATAAAGTTAGACAGTGGGTATAATATAAAGTTAGACAGTGGGTATAATATAAAATTAGACAGTGGGTATAATATAAAGTTAGATGGTGGGTATAAAGTTAGACAGTGGGTATAATATAAAGTTAGACAGTGGGTATAATATAAAGTTAGACGGTGGGTATAATATAAAGTTAGACGGTGGGTATAAAGTTAGACAGTGGGAATAATATAAAGTTAGACAGTGGGTATAATATAAAGTTAGACGGTGGGTATAATATAAAGTTAGATGGTGGGTATAAAGTTAGACAGTGGGTATAATATAAAGTTAGACAGTGGGTATAATATAAAGTTAGACGGTGGGTATAATATAAAGTTAGACGGTGGGTATAATATAAAGTTAGACAGTGGGTATAATATAAAGTTAGACGGTGGGTATAAAGTTAGACGGTGGGTATAAAGTTAGACGGTGGGTATAAAGTTAGACAGTGTGTATAAAGTTAGACGGTGGGTATAAAGTTAGACGGTGGGTATAAAGTTAGACGATGGGTATAAAGTTAGATGGCGGGTATAAAGTTAGACGGCGGTATATAGTGTCTAGTTATAAATGAACAGATATCGTTTGGTTAAGTCGTAGGATATCGGACGTTACTTTCGAGTAGGTGAGACGCCGACAAGTTTCCGGGGGGTCCGGAAAATTGTTTCGCACTGCTGGTAACTGTAAAACACACCCAATGTGGATGCCGTAGAACGGGACATATTCAAAAGGTATTCAGCCGTAAAGAAAAAAAAAACGTTCATCACACTTCACCTAATGTTAATAAAAAAATTTAATATTTTAGTCAATTGGGGTAAATTGTTAATTATCTTAATTAACCAGACGCAAAACCATTTACATCTTTCGGTCACAATAGTAGACTAATTGGTCAAAATATGTTAACTTGTCGGATTAAATTTAATTAAAAATGTCAATTTATTTCCAAAAACTACAAAGTAGTTGTGTTGTCCACGCATGCGTACAGCCTACATCCGCTCTGCTACTTATCACGTGATAGTCTGTTGTTAGGGTACTGTTGAACAGACCTAAAGAACCTCCTGAACCCCTCGGTACGGCAGCGAGTTTATCAATACCGTATTTCAAGTAATAACCTACCCTCCTTTGTACGGTAGTGTATACACAGTATAAAGAGAGAGTGGGGGAAGCACTTGATAACAGCCACGTCAAAATTAAAATTGATTATTTGCATAGGCAGGAGGGGTGGGTTAGTAAATAAACTGCTCTAAAAATGTCTTTGATTGTATTCACCTGTCGAAGCAGAGGTAAGAAGATTGGGCCAGAGATTGTAAAGTTAGTATGATTGTGTGGGCTGGATTGTGCCTTGATGATTTGTGATTGAATGAGATGTATTTTATTAGTGATATTTCTTTAACCCTACGTTCGCTCTAGCTAGCGTTAGCGTAATTCCCATTTTATTTTGAAATATGAATTTAGTTCAGTAGTACGCTGAACGCGTTTTTATGGATTCTTATATAGCCTACTAGCATGATTGTATTAAATACTTACTAATAATAATAGAAGGTTTATTTTTAAACGTGTTGTTTCTTTGTGATTAAATAAAATCAGATTTTATGAGTGAGACAACCGGTTGATTTGAAATTTTAGAAAGGCTTTTTGAAGATTTTTTAATTTTTAATTTATTTATTTTTTATTGAACACCATTTTACTCCTACACATTCGGATAGGGTCGTCTTGCTGCATAAATTTATTTCTATGAACTTTATAAATAATCCACGCAGTACATAATTATTTGAAAAATATTCAGCCACCCGTGAAACTTAATAGCACCGAACTTAATCAAGCGAATATTAAATTAACTCAACTGAGAAAGTGTTTTCATGAAAAAAAAAATACCGAAATCAATTTTGGTTACATTTTGTTTTACAGTTGCAAAGACTCCGGAATCCCATTATCCGCCACCTGCGGATTTTGTTTTCTTTTGACTCCAGTCACGCTCGTTCAAGTCACGAAATGACTTAACGGCAGTCAAAGAAGTCAGAGATAAGGGTATCGGTACCCAGCGTATCTCTGGGCCCATCTGTGAAAACTTTGTGGTTTTTACCAAGTGCACTCTGACCACTTGATGAAGGGTCCTCTGCCTGATTGGTTCGACGTTTGAAAGTTTTATGTTACTGAAGGACTTAACGATAGGGAACAGGGCGGAGAGTATCGCCTAGCGATCAGTAAATATTGTCAATTTATCGATCTTGCTTCAGGCGTCTATTGGTTTAGTTTTATATTGCTTCAACAGCCATTGTGGTTAGGGCGAGGTTTTTTATATGTTCGTTACATTTGAGATCATTCTGACCAGTTAGTGGCGTCATTAGGTTTACTGACATACATGGGGCAGGTCAAGTATGGCTGACAATGTTGGTGGCGTAGTCAGGTTTACTGACATACATGGGTCAGGTCAAGGAAAGGCTGACAATGTTGGTGGCGTAGTCAGGTTTACTGACATACATGGGTCAGGTCAAGGAAAGGCTGACCATGTTGGTGGCGTAGTCAGGTTTACTGACATACATGGGTCAGGTCAAGGAAAAACTGACAATGTTGGCGGCGTAGTCAGGTTTACTGACATCTATGGGTCAGGTCAAGTAGGGCTGACAATCAAATATGTCATCCTTGGGTTTTTGAGTTTACTGAGACTTAATTTAAAGACCTACACCAATGGCATCATGGAAAGAACTGAGACCTAATTTAGAGACCTACACCAATGGCATCATGGCTTATAGCTAGAACTGAGACCTTATTTAAAGACCTACACCAATGGCATCATGGCTTATAGCTAGAACTGAGACCTTATTTAAAGACCTACACCAATGGCATCATGGCTTATAGCTAGAACTGAGACCTAATTTAGAGACCTATACCAATGGCATCATGGCTTATAGCTAGAACTGAGACCTTTTTTAAAGACTTACACCAATGGCATCATGGCTTATAGCTAGTACTAAGACCTAATTTAAAGACCTACAATCAATTGTATCACGACTTATAGCTAAGGCTTGTAACTTTTTTTAAAACAACTGCTTGAAAAAAATGTTCCAATGTGGATCGAGTAATGATGTGTAACCCATTCATTTATTTATTTAAAAATTCTCTTGTATAAATATTTAACATCGTTGTTACATTAAAACTTGCTGCAAATGTTTGAAGTTGTTGTCGTTTTTGCTTTTAAAAAAAACGTTGGCTTGTAAAATGTTCAGAACTCAAGAAATCGATAACTGATTAAAACTTGATTTGAGAATCAATATTAGTACATAAATATTTTGTTAACTGTAATCAGCACGAAAGATCATTTTTGATAAACTTCAATATTCATCTGGTTAGAGGTGATGTATTGATTATAATTCAATGAGGAAAAGCCAACAGACTTTCAGTACTTTTGACAAGTGTTCAGTGTTCTAGCATGTCATTTCCATAACACAGAATCTAATTATTTATTACTAATCAATTGTATCAGTTGACCACAGGTCTTTTAAAACAATGCATGATTGTACAATCCTTATTCATAGGATTCTGAAAGACAGCGACTAATCCAAACCTCCATCTGCTGGCTGAAACCAATCAAATATTTTTTTCATTTTGCCAGCCAATCAAATTATGTGTTGCTTAAATTACTACATCTTGATGTTTACATTAAGCAAAGCGTTCAAATTTAAATACTGGAGCTGGTTTAATTAGGACTTAGTGCTACAAATAAAATCATTAGCTATTGCGACCAATGAAATCCTGAGAGAGTGTAACCAATCAAATCAAAGCTACTTACTGGAACCAATCGGATTCCTCCAAGTGCATGAACCGCCTGCTGCTAGAGTGACTCGCATTTGACGACTTCCGGCTGCCACGTGACCAGACACTGCAGGGCGAGGAGTGTGACGGTACCGAGAAGAGATAACCGGAAGTGCGAGTTTCTTGGTGAGGTCGTTTCCGGTAGGACACGGTGACTGTGGTGCTGGTACCGGCTGATGCTAGACAGACAGCCTTAGGTCGTGCTCCGGCTGTATCTGTGATGGACTGGCTAGCTTTTGCTACTTCTGTACTGGACAGGCTTGCCTTTGCTACATCATATGGGTACTGATGTGTCTTCACCTTGGTCTGATTTTCGACTTCCTTAAGATCTCGAACCTTCTGATGTTCCCCCGGGCTGTGTCTATTTTTGCCCTCCTCTTTAATGGTGGGCAAATGTGTAGTGTCGTTTGGTGTGGCATTTCTCGCAGTGTCGCCCTCTTTAATGGTAGGCAAATGGGTCATATTACTAGATGTCACATTTACTTCAGCAACATGATTTGTGTTATGAACTTAAAATTTGTCTATCACGTGTTCAATCTTTTTTTTTTTAATTTAAGAATTTTCGAGTCCGCCCTTTTTAAATTTCACACGTTATTTCTTTAACATATTTTAATTAAACTTCTTGTTTTTTGTTATCAGTGCTTGCTGGAAATTTATTCTGAAATAATGCAACAAACTAGTTGCTGCAACGTTGCTAATATCTATTGTGACCAAATACTAAATTAGGTGGTAAATCGAAAAAATCCATTAGAAAACAACAACTACAAGAACACATCTTCACCACAGAAAACGCAAGAGAGTTTCAAGTGTTCTTCTAGAATAATCCACTAGTGGGCGTGTGGGCTCTATCAAACCTCTGCTGTTGTCATGTGCTGAGAGTGCCGGTAAGTTGGAAGTATATTCCTACAGATCAAAAAACAAAGGGACACTACTCTATACAACTCCACCCTGAGTTGCCTGTCTTAAGCAAGTAGTTCAGTCTGCCAGGAAAATAATATGGGTTGGGGGAGGGGGGTGTTAAATTTACTGCCGTGCTCATAAATAAAACCTTCGTGAGAATTTCACGTCGGGTCTTGACTGAGGTAGGCAACCACGTGACATAGCATGTGTTAGTTTATTGCAGGCAGACAAAGGCTCCTCCACCCCCCGCCCCGTCCCTTGCTCCACTGACGGACAATAACTTTCAGTCACAGCCGTAGTAGAACCTGATACCACATTGTTGTCTACCCACAATACACCACGCGTTTCCTTTAACCGGTTGGTGAAGTCGACGCTGGGTTTTTGGGCTACCGTTAGGCCCACGAGTTGAAGGTTCACTGGATTATGGTATGGGGTTACATATAATTGTAGCATATATCGATACAGCAACACGTAAACTTCGATGGAAACAACGAATCTCTAGCCTTAGTACTTATGGAACATATTTCTTTTATATTATTTGACAAGCGTGTCTCGAATTACAAAGTCAGTGGGGCATTTCTCTGTTACTATCTAACTAACATTTTTCTTTGTTATTATGTGACAAGTGGATCTAAAATTGTGATACTAATGTGACAATTTTTTTTTCTGTTTTTTCCTTTACAAGGGGATCTCAAACTTTAATTAATACCAATGATACAATTATCCTTGTGCTCAATAATCAACAGCAGGTTTTCGAGAGCCCGAATTAAATGCCAACTAAATGCTAAACATTTTTGAACACGTTTACCCTAATATGCTAATAAATGTTGATAGTATGTTCTAAATATATAACTCAAAAATAATTAGAACTACAGAGTTTCCCTGAAAAGTATAACTGATAATTTAAATTACATTGACTTTTAAATTTAATGTCTACATTTAATTATGATATACACCTTAATTTACTTTTTTTTTTACTAAAACGAATGCTATACTTCGTCATTTTCTGTTTATGTTTAAAATAGTATACGATTGTTTGAAAAATATATTTTTTTTAAAGCTACCTCCCTTGAAAATTGAACAAATGACGTAGTCTTTGTTTACTTTTTTCACAAACAGTTGTTATGGTTACATAAAAAACTAAGGCATCTGAACAAATTTAACAACCATAATGTTTTTTTCCGACGGGAATAAAGTTTGTTGTTACCCTCCAAGGTCGGTCTACGATCTCACAAAATTTCAGGAGGATCATTCGGTAATTTTCTTTTATAAAGCTCATGTAAGGAGAATTTCACTCGCGGTCACTTTTTAGCCCTCGCCGAGCGAGCAGAGGCTGACCGATAGTTTATCCATAAGGCCGATTCATTTACTCAGCTCTATGCAAAAAATGAGCCAGATGTGCAGAGCCAAAGTTCCAAAACATTGTTTTGAAAATAGTCATAGCTTTTCACCAAATTAACAATGTTTATATAGGGAAAATTCGGACCGGTCAATTCTAATGGTCTTCCGGAGTTTTCCTGAATATATCGTAGTTTATTTTTTTGCCACCCCCGAGGTTCGGTCTACGACCTCAGGAGTTATGAAAAGGTTCCTACGTGGGGAATTTTTTTTCGATATTAGGCGCCGGTCAGTCGAGGTCAGTTTTGACCCCCTCTTCGTGGTCTTGTTGGCCATACGGCACCGGCCCCGGTGTTCTATCGCCACAAGGCAGGAGCCTGCTAAATTTGAAGCGCCTGGGGCGCCGAGAAGTGCCTTATCGGGCACCCGAGCACTTTGCTTTATATATATAGATCTAGATTGTATAATTTTGCTCATGATTGGGACAATGGGTTGTCAGAATATCAACTTTTGGCTTCACAGAGGATGATGGGGCATCAGCAAACTAAGAAAATCATTTATTCCATTTTACTTTCTCCACGTAATTATTATATATAAACTTTATGATTATTATATATAGATCTAGATTGTATAATTTTGATCCTGATTGGGACAATGGGTTGTCAGAATATCAACTTTTGGCTTCACAGAGGATGATGGGGCATCAGCAAACTAAGAAAATCATTTATTCCATTTTACTTTCTCCACGTAATTATTATATATAAACTTTATGATTATTATATATAGATCTAGATTGTATAATTTTGATCCTGATTGGGACAATGGGTTGTCAGAATTTCAACTTTTGGCTTCACAGAGGATGATGGGGCATCAGCAAACTAAGAAAATCATTTATTCCATTTTACTTTCTCCACGTAATTATTATGATTATGTCTTTGAAACTGTACACAATTACAAAATAAATTATTTTTTTGTTTACAATATATTTAATATTTTTATTTTAAAAGAAAAAACAATAAAGGGTAGGAGGACTGCATTCGATATCGCTGTTTGAAAGGGAAGAAAGTATGATTTGATTGTGTCTCATTGTAGGCTACTCTTGGTTTGGTATTTATAATATTATTATCTTTAATACTAAATTTATCTCAGTTCTAGCTATAACCCAATATGCCCTCAACCCAACCCACCGAGAAAGAAAATTTCCCTTTTACTTAACTTTTTAAAACATTTTTTTCTTCTCTCCACAGAACATTGAATCACCATTTAATTACACATTTAAATTTATATTATCAGGTTTAAATTGCATTGAAATTAGGCGATTTGTGTTATGTATAAATAAACCATCTTAAATAAATGAAAGAAAGAAGTATTACTACTGTAACTCTGTATCAGTCCTCACAAGCCGATGACGAAAACTGTAATACTAAAGCGAACTTGGCAAGGTAAACGGACGTTGTAAATCACATGTCCGAGGTAATGAAAAAAAAAAGAAGAAACAAGTTAATTAAAAAAGTCTAGTGACATTTGTGCGCAATTTCCTTATGTTATCTAAAAATAGCTCTGACGTATAATGTAGGGGTGCGTTCAAGCTAGAAGAACAATCGGTTTGTAGGTGTTTATGTAATTTTAAAATTTGTGACCGAACGAGAGAATATTTTTGAAAACTTTCTTCGGCAATATTGTTCTAAATTATGACAGGAATCGATTGGTACATGTTTCAAGTCGCTAAGTGGTCTGGTTGCCGAGATATGGGCCAAAAACTGCTTTTTTTCGAGATTTTTTGGCTTTTCTGGGAAATCCATGAAAGAAACCCGGAATTTTTATGGCCTATGTTCATCCTCGTAACTTGCTTAACATAATTGCTTTTGGAACTAGTCATCGATATTGCTTCGTTGAGGAGGAGATACGACTTAAAGCTGCGGACACACATTCATCCATCCATCCATCCATCCATCCATAAATGACGGGTTAATAAACGCAATTCTCCAGAATGGAAATTGCGCTAAAAAAACCAGTGTCTAAGGCACGACTTGTGAAACTGACAGTAACAATAATAAAGTATCATTGGACGGTCTCTTCTGAAATGTGACAAGCGTTGTATAATTTACAGCTGAGCTGTCTCAGTCCCAAAAGAACTTTAATCTAAACCTGACAGCAGGGTGACTACAAGGTTTAAAAGGAACAATAGTAATTTAAAGGGGGGGGCGGTGTTGTCTCATCGATAGGTTCCCATTTACGTTATTCTTATTTTCGTATCGCTAACTTTCATTAACGTTGACCTTGGGTTAATCATAGCTTTAGTCTTAATCTACCTCCTTACGATAAGCTGGCCCCAACCTTGACCGTAACCCTAACTCTACTCCTAACACTTAACTCTGATAACATAGTCCTAACCCTTGATTACCCTGACCTTTGACCTAAACCTAGCACTAACCCTAACAACGATATCAACACAAATCACAAGCCTAGACACCCCACTGTACTGTAGTCCTAACCCTTGATAGCCCTGACCTTTGAACTAAACCAAGCACTAACCCTAACAACGATATCAACACAAATCGTAAGCCTAGACACCCCACTGTACTACCGTGTTGGCAATCATAGAAGGATCAGCTGGGTAGGTTCTTATTTCACAGCTTACATGTGTAATCATGTCTGAACAACACGTCTATATCACAGCTTACATTTGTAATCGTGTATCAACAACACGTATATATGACAGCTTACATGTGTAATCATGTCTGAACAACACGTCTATACCACAGCTTACATTTGTAATCGTGTATCAACAACACGTATATATGACAGCTTACATGTGTAATCATGTCCTAACAACACGTCTATACCACAGCTTACATGTGTAATCATGTCCTAACAACACGTCTATACCACAGCTTA